TTTGTTTAATCAAAATGCTTTAGCTCCAAGCTGTTGTTCCTCTGGATCAACGTGAGGGTGTAGAAAGGGTGTGTGTGTGTGTGTGTGTGTGGCCTAGCATTACTATACTTGTGGGGACCTACATCTGTTTACACAATCACGTGTGGGGACTCGCCTCCCTTATGGGGACAAATTGGAGGTCCCCATGAGGGCAATCATTAATTTTAGGGTGAAGACTTGGTTAGGTTTATGATTAGGTTTAGGGTAAGGGTTAGGGTTAGGCATGTGCTGGTTATGGTTAAGGTTAGGATAAGTCTCCAGGAAATGCATGTAAGTCCATGTAATGTCCCCTGAAGTGATGTATACATGGTGTGTGTGTGTGTGTGTGTGTGTGTGTGTGTGTGTGTGTGTGTGTGTGTGTGTGTGTGTGTGTGTGTGTGTGTGTGTGTGTGTGTGTGTGTGTGTGTGTGTGTGTGTGTGTGTGTGTGTGTGTGTGTGTGGTGTGTGTGTGTGTGTGTGTGTGTGTGTGTGTGTGTGTGTGTGTGTGTGTGTGTGTGTGTGTGTGTGTGTGTGTGTGTGTGTGTGTGTGTGTGTGTGTGTGTGTGTGTGTGTGTGTGTGTGTGTGTGTGTGTGTGTGTGTGTGTGTGTGTGTGTGTGTGTGCGTGTGTGTGTGTGTGTGTGGAAAATACAGGAGAATTCTAGTTATAAAAACATCAGAAACTTCTTTGGTATTTTAGTTTATAGATTTGAACTTTCCCCGAACACAGGCAGCTTCAGTGGATGCGAGATGTGACACATATTAAGATACTTCCAATCATAACTCAAATTAAATCTAAACTTCCTACACTTGTTTTTAGATTGACTTAGACATTACATTTAAAAGCTAAGAGGTGCATTCACCCCATTAGAAATCACAGAAATAAGCCCCTTTCCTCACAACATCATGATTATACATTTACTTTAGTGTCAAACTAGGACAGTATTAGTTTTCCTTAAGCAATGACTTTGGACACTATTGTGAGTGTTATTGTGATATAATAAACAGATGGTATCATGAGTGTACTAGCTTGGGTGAAATGCAGACGACTGATCATTTTTGAATTGTGTATTTCTCTGCTCAAAACATGCAAATGTGAAGTACCTTAAAACAATACAAGAACTTAAACATTTGTACATTACTTTTTTCAAAATACAAAATATTTCTTCCGTCAAAGTTAAGATAATCTGCAAACAGTATATTCATAAATATCCCCACTGTTTTTCTTAACGTGTGGTGCTTTCATTTGAATAAGTATAATAATAAAAAGTATATAAATAATGAATTTGCAGTTGCAGTTAGATTCATCGTGCAAAACTATTTCATTGTACTGCTGACAGTAACAATTAGTAGCTAACTTTGCATACTTTTAATGTGACTCATATTTCAGGTTCATATTCATAATGTCAGACTTTCTAACCTCTCTACTCTATAATAACATATCTCCGGATCAGATTGCCAGCTAAAGTTAAAAGGACGGTGATAAGAGATGACAGACAAAGCCAAAAATGGTGCGCTAGTAAAAAGTGAAACTCAAGCCGTGTCAAACATGGACTTCAACGTTTCATTTTTGTTCTCTTCATGTGTCAGATTGAAAACCCATCTGATGCTTTAATGTCGTTTTTTTTTGTATTGCCGCCTTGTTATACTGCCAAATATCTCTCCTTTTCTTCCTGCCTTCTCTTGTGAAACCTCAGGACGCACATAACCCGCTCAATTTAGTTTCCCTTCTTTGTGCAGAACTATAAAATATGCTGCTGGAACAGAGATTTTCAGGTGAATAGAAAATGCTCGTTCTCCCGCTTGGATTGTTTGGGTGATAAAATGGAGGAGGTAATGGATACAGACTGTCAGTGTAGTTACCTTCTAATGAATACAGTGCACACAATTAGGTCCAATAGGTATATTATCCCATTAGTGACACTGCATTAGTCAGGGCGTCCGCGGGGTCTTCAAAAGTATTAAAAGTTGATAAATCAATTTAGCGAAAATGAAGGCTATTAAAAAGTATTAAAGGGCATTTTCCAAGGTATTACATTTTGTAGCTTGTTTTCAATAAGTATATAAATGGTCCAAAGAGGTTGTATTCTACCGTCTGCCTGAATGTAATCATTGCGTAGGTGTGTAGTGTGATTCTGTGTCGTTTATTGATGGCATCCCGTTGGGTTTGACGTCATCTGAACAGGACATCGCACGCTCACTGCTTGATAGCGCGAAAGTCCGTTTACGCCGGTTGCTAAGCAACATCGTTATGGGGAAATGCAAGTCTGCGTCCAAATGGTTGGAAGATAAGGAGGAAGGACAATCAAAACTGTATATAGTCAATGTGAGGTAAAGTGTGTCGCCAAGGTAACCGGTTAGAACTCAAAGTGGCGATGAGGTCTTAAAATGTATGGAAAGGGTCTTAAAAGGTCTGACTTCAGGATTCCTGCATAGACCCTGTAATGGATACAGACTGTCAGTGTAGTTACCTTCTAATGAATACAGTGCACACAATAAGGTCCAATAGGTATATTATCCCATTAGTGACACTGCATTAGTGTAGAAATCACATACAGTAAAGCATTATAAGTTCACTGACACCTCACTATTTCTATAGCAATATTACAAGAATAATATAGAAATATCACATAAGTCTTATATAAGCTCAGTATTGATCACGACGTAGTAATAGTCCTCATGGGATCATAATAAAACTCTCTCTCTTATGACCATTTGATGCCGTGCCGCACTAATGAACAACTATATAATTGTTGTTTTTCATTTGTGCTTATTGCCAGTCATAATGTGGTTTTGATTGCAGCTTTAAAGTCTGCACTGCTGTTTGTTTGGCTGCTTTACAGCTGTCGTTATATTTCACTCCTCCTATTCCCCTTTTCTGAGCCATTATAAGATAAGATAAGATAGTACTTTATTGATCCCAATTTGGGAAATGTTTGTGTTGCAGCAGCATTAAAGACATGGCATTGTACAATAACAATTAAAAATAGTAGAAAATATACATGTTGAATTCACAAATGAACAATAACAAAAACACTTTATATTAAGGTACACAAATTAACCATCAACTAGTTGTTAATTAACATGCGTATTAGCAGTTTATTGGCTCTTTATTAGTCATAATAAAACACTTAATAATGCCTTATTCTACATGACCATATTCTACAAGTAATAAGCCATTAGTAGCAGTGCCGTACTCCCATGCTATTCAGTTCACTTTCTCCTACTTCCTGTACCCGGTTTCCTGTCTAACCTTCAGTACAAATGTTACACATATGAAACATGTCAATATCACCTTGCTATAGAATAGATAGAATGGGAGGGATGAACCCCTCTTTAATGGTCACACAGGCAGAGCACACAGCACACACAGTGAAATGTGTTCTCTGCTTTTAACCCATCCTAGTCAGTGCTTGAGTTGGAATCAAAAAGGTGCCAGTACTCTAAATCAGCAACTGTTTCAAGTCAATTTATTTATACAGCCCAAAAACAAGTATTTGGCTCAAAGTCTATATCCTATAATGCTGGTGGGTTTGTCTCTTTACTGTATATTTTAGAAAGGCTCACTGTACTGAAACAAAATGATTAGAGTGCAGTGGTAAAGTGCTATTTTTATAAGTGGGGAGTGGACCTGACACCCTCTAGGGGGGTCCAGGGGCATGCTTCCCCGGGAAGATTTTTTTTTAAATATTGAAGTTAGATGCATCAATCTGGTGCACTTTGAGAGTAACATGAAGAGATATATGGATACCTCTCAACATCCATATGAAACAGAACTGTAAACAGATTTACTTTTTCTTTATGGATATAAAAGAAAGTAAAGCCTGACTCCTACTGGCGGCTGGTTAAATGACTCCTCGTCCCTGAGTACACTCACCATCTCTCAGCAGGAAAGGAGAGAGGGAATCCTTGTCCGGCGACAACTGCTGTCTTTTCGCACTATTATTAAGCCACGCTAACATTTTCGAAATGATAACATTATGTGATGTATTTTCTGCTCTAGTCTATCGCTGCGGCGCGTCATAGATGTACGCTGGGCATATTTGTTGTCATGCGTCATGACATGCTGCCGGCGGCTGAGTACCGGCATTTTACCGGTACTCAGTAAGAAGTGCCGGTAACACATGATGGGTACCGGCCCAATTCAAGTACTGATCCTAGTACCAGGAGTCTAGTACTAGGAGAAGTGGGCAGCTATTGCACAGCGCCCGGGAGCAATGGGAGTGAGGGGGGAAGGGGGATGTCCGGTGCCTTACTCAAGGGCACCACGGCAGGGCCCAGGAGGTGAACTGGGACCTCTCCAAGTAGCAGTCCACACTCCATATTTAGGTCTGTTCGGGGACTACGGCTCACAGTCCAAGCCCCCTACTGACTGAGCCACTGCTATTGGTAGCTGAACTGTCAATACCCCAAAACATATTCTTAGATATAAATACATAATGTTGAGTTATTTAGACACAATTAGCACTTATAATTTCATGTCTTGTTACAGTAAGAATAGACCATATTTGTTAAGTGTTATTATGGGAGAATTACTATTCTTGTACTGCCTTATTAGGCCCATATTGAGCAGAGCATATTAAGACCAAAACTCATGTACAACAACTTCCTTACTTGCAACAAATAAGCACTGATTAGAGGGTTATTGAGGAAAAACTCAACTAATGGCCTATTACTTGTAGAATATGTTCGTGTAGAATAAGTGTTTTATAATGACTAATAAAGAGCCAATATACTGCTAATATGCATGTTAATTAACAACTAGTTGATGGTTCATTTGTGTGTACCTTAATATATAGTGTTACCAAACAAACAAAATATAAAGCAAGTTATTATATATACATAAGTATGTGAGGGATGGAATATTAAATATTAAGCTGAATCCCTCTTTTTCTCCTCATAACTCTCTTTCTATTTCGAACCCTTCCGCATTATCATCTTAATATGTTTACTAATGTCTCTCTTCTTTCTCCTCCCTCCTCAGGAACCTTGTGGAACCTGTCATCCTACGAGCCCCTGAAGATGGTGATCATAAACCACGGCCTGCAGACCCTCACCAACGAGGTCATCATCCCCCACTCGGGGTGGGAGCACGAGCCCAACGAGGACTCGAAGCCGCGGGACGCCGAGTGGACCACCGTGTTCAAGAACACCTCCGGCTGCCTCAGGTAGGGTCAGCACGAAACACATGGAGCTGATGATGATTCAGTTGTTGTGGTTTCTGAGTATAGCCATTGATTCAGAGAAATATCTCACATTCATTGAACACTGGGTTTCAATTTTAATAAGCCCAACAATGCAGTTTAAGTGGTTATTCAAAAACAACTATTGCATGTTTTACACAGAGGTATTGAGGTTTGGAGAAATACAGCTTTCTAAAAACTATACCTGTCACTATCTGGTTTTTTGCAAACAGTGGTTACATAAGAGAGCTCAGTACAACCATGCAATTAACTTTCATGAACAGAAAACATTGTGAAGTTTCAAGGTGAATACACTGACACCACCTCAATGGAACAATACTGAATGGGAGCAACCTGTCAATAACAAGACAGACATCAAGCACATGCTTCTTTATCGTCTAATTTACTCTAAATGGGACCATAATTAAAAAAATTAACATCAGGTTGCATTGATAAATAATTTAAATTAGCAATTGAAAACATAACGGTGTCAGGAAAATGAAATCCGAGTTAAAAAACGTTTATACAAACATATTTCATTTTGCAACACGTGGATTAAGGCACTTCCACATTGGTCTCACTTTTAAGACTTGGAGTTTGCCGCTTGTGCTTTAAACTATAGTGTGTTTTATACAGAGGTATTGGGGTTTGGAGATATACAGCTTTCTAAAAACTATGTGTATATATATGTTAAATTGCAAATTTAAGTACATTTGTTTCATGTATCCTATTGGTCCCTCACCTTTCAAAGGTTTTTGGATGTGCACCACTGTGTTTTGAACGTTAAAATATCCTGACCACAGAATCATAACTTAAAGGGGACCTATTATGCAAAATGCCCCTTTTGATTTCTTTTATACATAAATATGTGTCCCCGGTGTGTCAGGGAACTCACAAAGTGTCAGGGAACAAAACCCTCTCTCTTTTCCTCCGTACCCACATCTAAAAAAAAAACTAAAAACGGGGGTGCCGACAAGCAAATCCAGAATCTTCGCTCCTATAACGTCATTGGCGACATCCGGCCGACGTGACACGTGACCTATCGTCTCCGTATACAGTCGCAGCTGTGTGTCTGTATTCAGCAGGATGTCTGCTGGAAGCTTAGAGTAAAGTTGTTATATATATAATAACACTTAAGAAAGAACATGTCAAGCTATGCTGTATCAGAGACAATGCGCAGCGTGTTTTGGGAGTAATATGCTGTGTGTTTACATTAGCAAGCATGCTAACACTCAGAGCTAGCCATGGAGCTAACGCTGTAGGCTACTGGAGAGAATACAGTATGTGTAACGTAATGTCCTTGTGGTAAACCCTGCGAGAGAGAAAGGCTTGAGCTCCATACTGTTTCAGAAATAAAGCTTGAAGTAGTTAGGAGCATAACATGGCATTTAATCACCGCAGCGTTTAGCTGAGATCTCCCGGTAGCAGGGGAAAGCTGCGTGACGCTACAAAGGGGCGTGGCTAGCAGCAGAATCAGCCTGTTTGCAACAGGGCTGCAAAAGAGGGGTATGAGCAGTATGACGCATGGCTACAATGAGTGATCTGTTTGGTTTTTTAAGCAAAAAACTTCACAGACATGTGTTGTATAGGTATGGCCCTACAATATATGTTTCCCAATATAGCGCAATAGGTCCACTTTAAACGAAACTACCAAACTTTTGCCTGTGCAAGCTTCTCCATTGTGAACGTCTGATGTATTTATTATTTGTCATATGTATTTGACAAATTGTATATCTGTGGGGTTTGGGACAGAGGATTAGATACAACAAGCAATTTGAACATTTTACTTTGAAGAAATTAAACACTTTTTTAAAACAGGTTCAAGCAAACTTATTAAACCTTATTTTTGATTATCCACAACTGCAGCCACACAGAATCCCCCCCTGGTCAAACACTCTTAAATGTGAATTATTGGACATAAACAATGTAGCAAACCTAGGAAACAATCCAGTTGTAAATGTGGAATGGCCCAGAACGACATTAGGCAAAAGTTGAGGGGCACATGTCAATTTGGGTTTTAACCATGGACACATTATAGAGATTACTCTGGATTGTATGGAGTGGACCTTTAACATGCCGACAGCCATGAATGCTTTTACTGACTGAGCAGTTGTATCTGGGGACAGGTGAGGCATATATGAGACTGAACATGTGCATTGTTGGCTCTGAGCCAGGGTCAGGTTAAAATTATTTGGGTACTGAAATATTTTACGATAGAGGCGTATGAAGTATTCTGGTTGTCTGTCTTCAGTGGGATTGCATGGGTCACTTCAGGAAAACATAAATCCCAGCACCTCTCTTTGTTTGTTGTTGTTCTGAAATAGGATGCGTAGCTTTGTATCCACTCCACCCTGGGACAATGAGCAGCCTCAAATAAACAGGCTACGATTCAATAATCACACAAATGAAGTTAGACTGAGGCTTATTCAGGCTGAGAGGAGATAAATTGAGTCCACGGTGCAGATCGCTCCCTCTTGACAACAAGTCAATATGTCTTTCATTTTGTTGGTGAGTAAAACAATAAACACACATTGGATTGAATTAGATGTTCTACCAATAAGAGATTTTTAAATGGTCATTATTTAGGGAGGCCAAGGACAATATATGATGTCAATATTGTATTTTCTTCACGATAAAGAACAGAAATTTGTATTTATTTAACACCATAAATGTCTGCTCATTGCCCAAGTAGAGCTACACTCAATATGCATTGCACTTAAATGAAAAAGACTGTATCATGACACATTATTGTTAGTCGAAAAAGTCCAGCTAAATGACTCAACAATAATCCATGTTAAATCTGAGAAGATTGCTGTTTTCTATTGCCTTTTAGTTTATGTAAAGCACTTTTATAATCAACTTCTGTGACATCATTGTACAGAAATAGATCTTGACACTATAGTAAAAGCTGATGCTTGGTGGCATGATGTCGATATGCAGAGATGGCAAAAGTACACACATCCTTTACTCAAGTAGAAGTACAGATACTCGTGTTTAAAAATACTCTGGTAAAAGTAGAAGTACTGACTAAACTTCTTTACTCAAGTAAAAGTAAAGAGGCTTTGAAATGTACTTCAGTAAAAAGTACCCATAACTAGCAGCTGTTTTAAAGAGTACCTGACCTCCCTTTATATTAATAGAACAATAATGTCACTGTTAGCTAATGAATGTTTCCATGCTGAACAACGGCAACATGACAACGTTTCCATTGGTCCCTCTTCTTTAGAGAAGACCAGGAAATGATGGATACACGGATCGTGTTCAAATCAATAGACACGCAATGACTCTAAAGAATAATGATCACGCATCAAACACACATTCAGACTAAAGGAACCAGCTGTTTGGAAAATGAGAGAAGTGGAAAGTACAGGTATTTGAGTTCAACATGTAAGAAGTAGAAAGTACAGGTATTTGTGTTCAACATGTAAGAAGTAGAAAGTACAGGTATTTGAGTTCAACATGTAAGAAGTAGAAAGTACAGGTATTTGAGTTCAACATGTAAGAAGTAGAAAGTACAAGTATTTGGGTTCAACATGTAAGAAGTAGAAAGTACAAGTATTGGGTTCAACATGTAAGAAGTAGAAAGTACAGGTATTTGAGTTCAACATGTAAGAAGTAGAAAGTACAAGTATTGGGTTCAACATGTAAGAAGTAGAAAGTACAGGTATTTGAGTTCAACATGTAAGAAGTAGAAAGTACAAGTATTTGGGTTCAACATGTAAGAAGTAGAAAGTACAGGTATTTGAGTTCAACATGTAAGAAGTAGAAAGTACAGGTATTTGTGTTCAACATGTGAGAAGTAGAAAGTACAGGTATTTGTGTTCAACATGTAAGAAGTAGAAAGTACAGGTATTTGTGTTCAACATGTAAGAAGTAGAAAGTACAGGTATTTGTGTTCAACATGTGAGAAGTATAAAGTACAGGTATTTGAGTTCAACATGTAAGAAGTAGAAAGTACAGGTATTTGTGTTCAACATGTGAGAAGTAGAAAGTACAGGTATTTGTGTTCAACATGTAAGAAGTAGAAAGTACAGGTATTTGAGTTCAACATGTGAGAAGTAGAAAGTACAGGTATTTGTGTTCAACATGTAAGAAGTAGAAAGTACAGGTATTTGTGTTCAACATGTGAGAAGTATAAAGTACAGGTATTTGAGTTCAACATGTGAGAAGTATAAAGTACAGGTATTTGTGTTCAACATGTGAGAAGTAGAAAGTACAGGTATTTGTGTTCAACATGTGAGAAGTAGAAAGTACAGGTATTTGAGTTCAACATGTGAGAAGTAGAAAGTACAGGTATTTGTGTTCAACATGTGAGAAGTAGAAAGTACAGGTATTTGTGTTCAACATGTAAGAAGTAGAAAGTACAGGTATTTGTGTTCAACATGTAAGAAGTAGAAAGTAGGCAAGGCAAGGCAAGGCAAGTTTATTTATATAGCACTTTTCAACACAAGGCAATTCAAAGTGCTTTACAAAAAATGAAAGAGATTAAGAAAATGGCATTTAAAATCAGTCATTAAAAAGAAAAGCTAATAAAATAAACATTAAAAGAAAAAATACATGGATAAAAGTTACAGTGCTGTCAATTAAACATTAAAAGAAAAAAGTACATGGATAAAAGTTACAGTGCAGTCTAAGATATGAATAGTTCAATTAAAAGCAGCGGCAAAAAGAAAAGTCTTCAGCCTGGATTTAAAAGTAGTCAGAGTTGCAGCGGACCTGCAGGTTTCTGGGAGATTGTTCCAGATGTTTGGAGCATAATAACTGAACGCTGCTTTACCATGTTTAGTTCTGACTCTGGGGACAGAAAGCTGACCAGTCCCTGAAGACCTGAGAGATCTGGATGGTTCATAATTTAGCAGGAGGTCAGAAATGTATTTTGGGCCTAAACCATTCAGTGCTTTATAAACCAGCAGCAGTATTTTGAAATATATTCTTTGACACACCGGAAGCCAGTGTAAAGACTTCAGAACTGGAGTGATGTGATC